AATGCCTTCATCGACTTCATCCTGTACTCGAGTTTAAGGACCACTCACTTTACCATCTTTCGGTTCTTCTCCGTGAAACAAAAGGCCTCACAAACCTTCATGTTACTCGTAGTCCAAAAAGAAATTTTGCCAAAAAAACGAAATGTGGCATGAAATTTATGACATCCCGAGTAAAACCTCCATATCCTCATGAGAGAGATTATAAAATCACCCTATCCTAAAAGTTAAACTTGGTCAGTGATGATTTCTCATAACATAATACTCCAAATCTCTTTTTTTTTCTCAAGCGCAAAATCACACAGCGGACAAAGCCAAACCATAACAGTAACAATAACAAAAAGTTAAGAAGATGATAGAAATCAACATCAAACATTTCTTATAGCAAAATCCAGAATCCTCAAACCAAAACGGGTCCAGAGAAATCTCCACCCTTCATGATTCCTTCCTTCGGCACACTGACCTTTCAATTTACTCACACGATTGACGGGTTTGAGCAACAAGAAGAGTAGAAAGCAGAATTGAAGAACCAGACCGAACTACTTTACTTACAAAGTTCTTTTAAAACCTGAGTGACAATTCAAAGAGAAAATGGGTCAGACTCATGGTCAGTTTGATTTTCTGTGGAATGAGATACAAATCACATCCTCAGCCATTTACCCACACGGATAATGTACCGTAGCCGAGGCGTCGGTATGACGCGGAAAAACCAGACGCCCCGTGGCCGAGTATCGGATCCTGAACCATTTTGAAATCGATCATCATCAACCCAAAATACGAAATCTCCAAGCTCAAACCTCAAAAGTTCACAATATCATTTCTAATCCAAATCAAGATTCCTTGCATTCATTCAAAAGAAGATGTCAAATAAAGAATTCATCATCGAAGACGATATTTCACTTGGACAATTACTTGATCGAGCTACCAAATCATACGAAGAAGTACAACTAGCTCCATCACCCAATAACCAAGATGTACAAGTAAGTAAGCTTTTTTCAAGCCAGTCATTACCGAAAAGAAAAAGAGTGAAACATGATGTTGATGTGATTTTTCACATTTTGATGTGATTTTACACATTTTGATGATTTGAATTTTAGTCTAAGATTTTATATAGTATATCTGATTTAAAATTATGTGATAAATTAATTAAACGATTAGGAATCTTATCATCAAATGAAACAATAGAAGATATGACAACTAAAGATATCAAATGTTTAATTGTGAATGGATTGATTGGAATGTTAATGGTTTTGAGAAAAACTAATGGTGGTAATGAACGTAAAGCGTTTCTTGAACTTGCAAAAGTAAGTCCTCTCAAATCATCAATCTTTTAATTCTCTGCTGTTACTGATCAGGGGCTTTTTGTTACTATCAAGCATCATTTGTTAGAGTTTATTGAACAAATCGAATCTTATGAAGTGATACAAGTGAATGAAAGATCAAAATACCAAGGACCTTTATCAACAATCAAAAACCAAGCAATAAGAAGGGAAGGCAAGATCATTCAATACAAACTAGAAAAAGAACTACAATTCAAATTAAATGAATACAAAACCCGAAAAGAAGAAAAGAATCGATCCAACCTACATTCAACAAACCATCGATCCACTCGAACTTTAGATAATGAAGAAGAAGAAGAAGAAGGAGAAAGAGAAGTTTATACAACTTGGTTAAAGTTTCTTTATTTAAAATCGTACCAAGAAATCAATAGTATAGACCAAGAACTCGACTTATTAGGCACAAGTTCACAGATGGAAAGCATCCCACACCGATCCAAAAGTACCGAAAAAGACGCAACAGAAGCCGAAGATCTAAGTTGGAAACTAGACCAACTTTCCACCAAATCAGGCCCATTGATCGGTCCTACCGGAAAGATTTTAAGACCATTCACCATCTTACCATCATCTAAATCATTTACATCAGCCACAGATCGTATCCGATTAAGATCCGAAGTGTTTAGACCTGATTGGAATTTACCTACGATGACCATAGATGAATACTTAGATGAACAAGAATCGATGGGCAATTTCTTGAAAGGAGGTGGACCGGCTCAAGCAGAAGAAGAAACGGATGGGGAAAGAGTCAAGCGGGAAGCCGAAGATGATAATCTTAATGGTGAAGAAATGGCAGAAGGACTTAGGAAAAAAGCGATCGAATGGGATGAATTTACTGATACACATAGGAAAGGTGAAGGGAATATGATGAATAGAGGTTAACTTTTTTTTTGAGATATGTTTGTGTATATAGAGAGTCGATTCGATTTGTTTTGATGTTGTTCAGTTTTATATCTTATCAAACGCTTGAATTGGTTTTCTTTTTGTAAAAATAAATGTTATTTTTGATTTATATTGTTTAAACTGATCCATCGCTAATCCAATTCACTCTACAAATGTGTTTTTATTCTGGTGACTTTTGTTCTTTTTGACTCAATGGTTCTACAGAAGCGCAACAAACTCATAAATGGCTTGGGTCCTGTGTTTTATGTCAAAAGGCCATGGATTTGATACTGTTCTCAAATGTTTCCTTGACTGCTGGAATAGCTTCCTGCAAGAGTTTTTGGTCAAGTTTTGAAAGTCAAGCATTCACATGGCCACTTGATTGTATATCTTCATTTTCAGAGACAATCAGATATTGTCACACTTTCATCCAAAGAAACCTTCAGGAATGTCTTTGTGGCATGATATTCTACAGTGTCACTTGAGCTGTCACTTGAAATGGAACCTCTTTAGTAAGATGTTGTGGTGGAATATGCTTGTAAAAAGTGAAATGATGTGTTTGAACTCGATCGATTGCTCTTCTTTTGATTACCTCTTCCTGTTTACCAACTCAACCTCAATCAACTACATCATCATCATTCACTTTATTACTTCACCCAAGACTATCATCAAGAAAACCGATTGGAACTAATCCAAAACTTCAATCTCTCAAGACACTTAGTTCTTGTAGGATGTATTACGTCAGTACAAAACCACAAGTTTCCAAGACAATGGAATTCCAAAAACTGACTATCAATGGATTTGACATCTTTCTTTGGAAATCAAATAGAATCTTAAAGCTTTGATTAAAGCTATAAGAGCCACTAAAACTTTAGCAGATGAAAGATCAGTGATCCAAAAAGAAAGTGCAGCTATTAGAACTAGTTTTAAAGAAGAAGAAACGGCTTATAGGTATAATAATGTAAGTTTTCAATCCTTCATTAAATTCTTTTTTACTTTTTGGTGAAGGTTTTGGATCATTCATCAAATTGTTCTTTTGTTGATATGATTCTTTTTGGGAGGTTCTTTTAGGTGGCTAAATTATTGTACATTCACATGTTAGGACATCCTGCTCATTTTGGACAAATCGAATGTCTTAAATTAGTTGCACAACCAAGGTTAGAGCATCAAGAAAAAAAAATTAAAGAATTTGATTTCTCATGTTTTTTTGTTTGGGGGGGATTCCGGATTAGATTTGCCGATAAGAGACTTGGATATCTTGGGATTATGCTTTTGTTAGATGAAAGTCAAGAAGTTTTAACATTAGTAACTAATAGTTTGAAAAAGTAAGTGGGTTGATGATTTGATTTCGGTCTTTATAAATCAATTGAATGAAGAGAAAAATCTGACTTTGTTATCTTTGATTTTATATTCTTGATTGGGAATTGATTTTGGGATTATGATTGAAAAAAAGTGATATGAATCATTCTAATATGTATGTAGTAGGACTTGCGCTTTGTACGTTTGCGAATATCAGTTCAGAAGTACGAATTCTCTTTTCAAAGACATCTCTTCTATTCCGATGACGAATGATGGCTAATTTATAATCTACGAATCCATTACAAACCCCTCCCCCTACTTTCACAGGAAATGTCAAGAGATTTAGCAAACGAGGTAGAAAAACTTATAGGAAGTAGTAATACGTATATACGAAAAAAGGTTAATATTTTTGATTTCATAAACTGCTTTGGATCTCATCAAACTGATTTCATTTGATCATTCTCAAATCGTTAGGCAGCACTTTGTGCCATGAGGATTATTAAGAAAGTACCTGAATTATTAGACCATTTCGTAGCCAAAGCTACTTCTCTCTTATCTGATCGAAATCATGGTGTTTTACTCTGTGGAGTCACACTTGTGACAGATATGTGTGCCATGGATAGTGATGCACTCAAAACGTTTCGTAAAGTGAGTTTGATTTTATACGTCATGTGTAGGATCAAAGTACTTTGAGGCTCATCTTTGATCCGTCTCCAA